CAGTTAGCCACCTCTTTGATCGAATCTAGGATAGACGAGGATCAAAGTAGCCATGAAAATAATTCGAGAATTTTTTTTTTGCGAAGTTCTAAAAGAAAAAAGAATCTTTAAGAAATGTTTAAGGATGTCAAAATAGTCCTTGGTTCGCTAAATGCTTGAGACAAAAAGCTGTCAAGTTTAGAAAAGAGTACTTTCTAATCTTAACGCGCTAAAGAATCTATATTGATCCTTTTCTATTGTACAACACTATTACAAGTAAAGATGTTTTTGGTGATGTCATGTAATTAGAAGAAGTCGGTTTAAAAAGGATTAAAGGGGATGATGTCCTCCTAATCATGTCATCGTTGGTCTAAAGTCCCTCGATATGTCATTGAAATTTTAACTTGATTTTGACAAGTTTGAAAAGATGACAAAAGAGTGTTTCGGCTTTCGAAATTGGAATAAAGTTCTCGACAATTCGCTTGTCGAAACGCAATACTCAGTGTCCAATGATAGAAATACATGTCTCAAGACAGAGGCGCCATTTTGACGAGGGGTGAACTAGGTCGTTGGACTTATCCTCCCTAAGCCAAACAAAATTTATAAACACTTAACTAACCTAAATACAAGTATAGAGGTAAGTCAAGGGTCGAACCCAAAGGAAAGGTAATGTCTAAGTGCTTTCAATTATGTGCCTAAGCTAGGTCGAAGTCTAAGGATAAAAGGCGACACTAACAACAACTTAAACGAAGAAACTGAACAAATTAAGTGCTAGGGATTAGGATTCACATATAATAGCAATGAACATAGCAAATTGGGATAGGAAGTTAAGTAAGTCGAGTGATGCAAGGGAAAACCAATTATGCAACCAAAAGAGCATATCAAGCTATTCTCCTAGAGGTCTATCGAGCGTCAACTACGATAAACTCTAGCTAGGAAACATCATAAGACACCTCAATCGTGTAAATGCAAGCCACAAATCAATGGTCCGTATCAATGTGAACCTAGAATGCAATCTAGTGTGAATAACTAGGGTGATCAAGCCTAAATCAAAGACACACATGCACATAATCAATTAACCAATTGAATCACATCATAAACTCCATCAATTTCCCCCAATCTACATCAATCCATCACATAATATAAGCTTCACCATCACTTAGCAAGGAAACTACTCTAACAACATCATCAAATCAACAAACAACTAGAGGAATCAAGAATCAACAAAATATGAAGAACAATTACACTAATCAAAGATCAAACATCAAAATCCAATTAAATCAAATCAAACAAACATGAATAAACAAATCAAAACAATAAATGAGATAGAGTTAGAAATGCTCATTGATAATAGAGAAGATCTCTAATACAATTGTCACCATTGAATCTTCAATCTCTCAATCACCATTGAAATTCCTCACTTTCTCTCTCTAAAATCTACTCTTAAAACTAACCCTAAAACTTGAGAGAGAAGCTCTCAACTAATCTAAGAATATGATCTAATTCTAATATGAAACTTGTTTCTAAACTTACCCCAAAAACCGGGTTTACATAGATATATATAAAGGCGCAAAAACACCAAAAACCGAGCATAAAATGCCCACGAAGGCGCAACCGGGCAGCAGGGGTGGTGCGCCCGTGCACGCAAGGGATGCACCTGCACCACCCTTAGGTGCGGTCGCGCCACCCCTAGGTGCGCCCGCGCCTAGCTGGGTTCCTTCAAGATTCTCGCGGCTTGGTGCGTTCGCTAAGGTCGCATGACTTTTGCAGTAGCTAATGCTCTTGATTAGTGGGTACACCACTTCTTAATGGTAGCACAGTATGCAAGCGTAAGAGCCAAGACTTGGAATTTCCACTTCCTTGCATCTTGAGCTTTCCAAATGGAATGAGCTTGTTCCAAAAGCTACCTCCACCTTAGTGGAACACCAATATCAAGACTCGAACCTCGTACAATACCTACAACCACGAAAATAGAGAAAATAAAGGAGAAAAGGCTAGAAAACCAACGAAATACACATAAACTACAAAATAAGAGAGGAAAGGTAAAACTAAGCAACAAAGCATAAAACTAAGCATTTATTGAGCAAGAAAGCTATGAAAAGAGGATGAAAACAACCTAAATACTCATCTAATGGGTGCAATTTATGACAACCATCAGGCTGACAAGGGGAAAACTAGGTTGTTATCTAATTTTCCCTCGGTCAAACTAAATTTATAAACACTTAACAAACCTAAATACGAATATAGAGGCAAGTCAAGGATCGAACCCAAGGAAACGGTAACGTTCAAATGCTTTCGATTTGGGTGCCTAAGCTAGGTCAAAGACGAAGGTAAGAGAGAATAGTAACACCCTAATAATTCTCCCTTTTCCAAACCACTTACATTAAATATAAATAGAGGAGAACTATTGGCATGTTACCGTCACGTGTTAAAACGTTAAGGCTTTATCAAAGTATTGCAGCGGAAATCCAACTTAAATCTTAAAATAATATAATTTAGAAAACCAATAAGTCAAATCTTACAAATAGGAACCATAAAAGCCCTTATTAAAACCAAACCAATATTCAAAATCCCAAAACATAACTGAAATAGTAAAACATAAATAAGTTCAACACAAAAAACGAATACTCTCAATCACACCAATCCCTTGACAATGCGTATGCAAATCCCCGAACTTCACATCATCAAGCTAACCTGTGCAATACTGCTCCCCAATAATACAAGTGTAATAATTGGATCATCACAAGGTCATTGAAAGGTGAAGGCCATGACCAAAAGAAAACACACACAAAATCACGCAATCAGCAAAGCTGAGTACATACATGCTAAAACGTACAAAACCCAGCATGCTCAACTAATTAAAAATAAATAAACATACAACATGAATTCATTAACCAAGACTCCACACTTAAAAAATTCAATTGACTCAACATACTTTCTAATCCATTTCGAACACTTGACTCTTTATATTTAATTTAAATAATCTAATTTTGGAGTAAGCAATAGATGAGGTTGTCCAAACCACCAAATTATTTTGGTCCCAAATGACCATTTAAAATAAAAGTTTAGCACGATGCTAGAATGGGCGCGACTCCATTCTCACAACATTAGTCCAGGATCCCATCTAACTTTCATATTAAAAAAAATGTAAATTCCAAAAGAGAAGAGGACATGTTGATTAAAAAAAAAGCCTCGAAAAGCCACGGGCTACCACCGTATATCCCAACCCATAATTGTCAATACTCTAGAAGTGCACACTTTCCAAAGTTTGATTGCTCATCCATGTTTCACATTAGGTGATTACAATTTTAATTAATAGCCGACTCATTCAAGTAGACCATACATAACAATCATATATCAATTCACTTTTAATCTTATTTAGGACAATGGTGATCGCATCACTAATTGACCTTTAATTCCATTAAACTTCCAAATTGTCCAAATTGTTGAACATAGTCAATTCACCAAAACATGTCTCATAAACATAAGCACATGAATTAATTAAATGTATAACCAAACAATTTCCATCCAAGTGTTCTCTAAATATGAAACTAAGTTCTTTTCTTTTGATTTCTATACATGATACTACTTACAACGAAGTAGACATGTACGTACCTCGTGTAAACAATCCTTTGTGCCACTTTTAATCAATTAAAAGTCTCTTAGGGAATAATCACCTCCTAGAAAACAACCAATAATCACAAATTAATACTTAACCAAATTTCCAGCAATATAATTCAGATTGAAAGTTCTTAAATCTCCCTTAAAAACATGTTTTTATGCTTAATTAATCATTAGAAATTCAATAGGAACCAAATCCCCAATTTAATTGCTCATTAGAACCCTAAAATCCCAATTTTAATAAATTGAAACCCTAGGTTTATAATTCATAAAATCTGAAAATTTATAACATAAATACAATATGAAATTTATAATCTTTATACCATCAAAATATAATTTGATACTAAAAATAATCTATCAACCTATACTAAAGGCGAAACATAATCAATTCCTAGTTAAAAATTTTCCCGCCTTTTTTTCTTTCCTTTTTTTTTGGCGATATTTTAATGACATTCATTTTATAAACTATAATAATAGTTCATTCCATTTTAACAGCATATTTAATCGCATTATACTCAATTTTTTTTTACATATATTTTATATACTAGGAAACTTTTAGTTAAATAAATACTAACATAGATTAAAAATAAGGTATTGTAATATATTATTTTCCAAGATTATTATAATATTATCAATATCAATTTTTTTTCTCCAACTTTCATCATTTGGCAATAAAATTTATTTTAATTAAAAAAATATCTTTTGGTAGCGTACTTTATATAAATCTTAAAATTATATAACGTTTATAAGAACAAAATCATTCTATTATAGTATACATAACATATATTGGAAAATTTAATCTAATTACTCTAATATTTATATGATTATTTAAAAAAATAAAAACTCCTACTACTCACTAAAAATATATTAAAAAATTAATTACGAACTATAAATTTTTCTAAAGTAAAATGAAATCAAATAAATTTTCATATTTTTGTGAAAGTGGGATAACAACTTAAGGACAGATGTATATTAGTTCGTATATGGGTACAAATCTAAGCTAATATTGTAATTTTATTATATAAAAATAATGGGCCAAAATAATGAAAGGGGCTAGGCTTTATTTGTATTGGAATGATGGTTCATAAAAACCATAATGTAATAAAATAATTTTCCACCCAAAATAATTTGAAACTTTTTAAAATAAATCCGGAAAAATAAAAATAAATATTATAAATAAAATAAATTTTCATTTATAAAATATTTAAAAATACGGGTTGGGGGATTACAATCTACCCCTCTTAAAAGAAATTTCGTCCCGAAACTTAGCACAAAATCCCTTAAATTGTAAAACTTTTGCATAAAGACATTTCAAATTTTTCAAAATTATCTTGTTGGAATTCCAATCGTGTCATAATATTGACAATATTACCTTATTACCACCCAATTTACTCACTTCACTAGATACGTGAATAATAAAATAGCTGTTAAAAGTATAAAAACACCACAAAATAGCATGAAATAGGGCAAAAAGCGCGAAATTATACGCATTCTATCCCCCTTAAAGAACAAGAGTTACGCCCTCGTAACTCACCTCATTAAATAACTCAGGGTATCTCTTTCTCATATCATCCTCGGCCTCCCAAGTAGCCTCCTCATACTCTTGGTTTGACCAAAGAACTTTAACAATTTTCACATCCTTTTCGCATGTACTACGCACCTTATAATCCAAAATTTTCACAAGCTTTTCCTCATAAGTTAGAGTATCATCCAATTGAATCGATTCAAGTTGTAGCGCGTGCTTAGAATCAGGAACATACTTTTTCAATTGAGAGATATGAAATACATCATGCATTTTCTCAAATTCCATAGGTAATGCCAATTTGTAAGAAATTTGCCTACACGATCCAAAATATCATAAAGACCTACATACTTGGCACTCAATTTGCCCTTCTTTCCAAATCTCATCACTCCTTTTGTAGGTGATACTTTCAAAAAGACTTTATCACCCACATTGAACTCATCATCTCACCTTTTCAAATCGGCATAACTTTTCTGCCTATCTTGTGCAGCCTGGATTCTTGAACGAATAAACTTCACTTTATTCACCATTTCCTCAATATACCCTGTTCCTATAACAAGATGCTCACTATAGTCATTCCAACACACAGGACTTCTACACTTTCGACCATATAATGCTTCAAAAGGTGCCATGCCAATGTTAGCATGGTAGCTATTATTGTAAGAAAACTCAATCAAATCCAATTGATCCTCCCATGTTCCTTGAAAATCCAAGGCACACACCCTTAGCATATCCTCCATGGTTTTATTGGTTTTTCAGTATGTCCATATGTAGCTGGGTGGAACGCAGTACTCATTTTCAAGGTTATTCCCAAGTTTGCTTGAACCTTTTGCCAAAATTTGGACATGAATCTTGAATCTCGATAAAAGATGAAGTGCGTAGGCACTCCATGTTGTGGAACTACATTCTTCACATAGACCTTTGCCAATTGTTTCTTCTTCCATGTTTCCTTTATTGGAATAAATATTGCAGACTTTTTAAGTCGGTCTACAATCACCCAAATAGTGTCATTGCCACTTTTTGTTCTAGGCAATCCTGTGATAAAATCCATGGATATCTAATCCCATTTCCATCATGGAATCTCAAAAGGTTGAACCTTTCCCATAGGTCTCTTCTGATCAATCTTGACCTTTTGACAAGTCAAGCATTTACTAACAAACTCAGCTACTTCTCTTTTCATATTTGGCCACCAATATAACATTTTCAAGTCCTTATAAAACTTATCCCCTCCTGGGTGCACAGAATATGGAGTATTATGACTTTCTTCCATGATTTTTCTCTTTAAATCCTCACACTTTTCTGGTATACACCATCTTTCCTTCTAACTGAAACTTCCATCATCATGGATCTTGAAATCTACATTCTTTCCTTGGCTCATTTTCTCCTTATTCAATTGGATTCCTTCATCACCTTTCTTACTGTCTTTAATTTCATCCAACAATGAACTCCCAAGTGAAAGAGCACTCAACCTTGCTTCTACTTTACCATAGCTCACAACCTCTAAGTTCAAACGCTTTATATCTTCACATAATTCGTCATGCACGATTAAAGCATTCACACCATGACTTGATTTCCTACTCAAGGCATCTGCAACAACATTTGCTTTCCCTACATTGTATTCTATGTTCACAATATAGTCATTGAACAATTCCAACCAACGCCTCTGTCTCATATTGAGATTCGTTTGAGTTAAGATATACTTGAGACTTTTGTGGTCCGTAAAGATCTAACATTTTACTCTAAACAAATAATGTCTCCAAATCTTCAATGGAAACCCTACAGCCGCAACTTCAAGATCATGTGTAGGGTAATTGACTTCATGATATTTGAGTTAGCGAGAAGCATAAGCTATCACCTTCCCATTTTGTTGCAACAAACACCCTAATCCATTCTTTGAAGTATCACTATATACTTCAAATCCATCACATCCATCAGGTATGGTTAAAACAGATGCAGGTGTTAAACGCTCTTTAAGAGTTTGAAATGCTTGTCCACAATTTTCATCCCATTCAAACTTACTTTCTGTAGACACCCGTATGTATCTCCCCATAACCAAACCTAGTGATGAATAAATTTTATGTCATTTGATTATCGAAAAAAGCGAAAGTATGAAAATTCTAGTGATGAGGATGTTTTTATTAAAATATCTCTTCTTTCTGTTTTTGAAAATATTTCTTTTCTAACCCTATTTATGCAAAACATGAATTCCAGTTTAGTTTGTTCCATGATATGGGTCCAATAATGGTATAGTTGGATGGGGCTTGAAAATACCTTTCCAACGATATATTGCCCAATTCCGACGAATAATGAGTAAGTTATGGCCAAAATACAAAACTAGGCTCGAACTGGATCTTAACTACGGCCCAATGATCATGTGGTGGGTCCAATGGTCTAATCCTATTCCTAAACTAATTAGGATCAATTAGAATCTTCTATAATTTTCTAAAAGATCTTAATTATCTTTTTTGAAAAGATAAGATTAAAGAATTTGAGTTAAATAAAAACTTTCCTTTTATAAAATTTTCAATTTTTTTAAAAATCCTAATTCTATTCGAATTTAAAGATATTCAAAGACAGTTAAATATTATCTTTGTGCCTTATAATATTTATCCAAATTTTATATGGTTGGATAGATTTTGAAATTATCTTTCTAATGATATATTATAATATTAAATCCGAGCTATAACGAAAAAGATATGAATGAGATATGAAACTCTATCCATAACTGACACCCTTCCCCTATTTTGGCTATATATGTTTATCTACATAATATTTTAATCTGATTCCAATTGTGTTAGAAAGTAGACTTCAATAGCTTTCTAACGACATTTTATATTCCTTGTTTGGACTTCTGAATCAAAAGATATGATAAAAACAAAATCCGCAATAACTGTTGTTGTAGACACCCATTTGGGTCTCCCAAAAACCAAACCCAGTGATGAGTGCCTTTCACGTCGAATGATAATCGAATGAAACGAAAGTGTGGAAAGGTCTAGTGTTGCGGAAAGTTTTAGTTCTTTTCTTTTCTTTTCTCTTCTCCCTGTTTTTGAAAACTTTATTTTAAGAAAACAGCCAATCCAGTTTGAATGGTCCATGATATGGGTCCAATAGTGGTGTAGTTGGACGGGGCTTGCAAAGACCTTTCCAACGATATATTATAAGCCCATTTCCGATGAATATTGAGGAATTTGTGGCCAATTTACTAAACTGGGCCCGGTTTGAGTTTTAAGTACGGCCCAATGATCTAGGGGAGGGCCTAATATGATTTATCATTCCTAATGTAATTAGGAATGGTTTTGGTCTTCTAGAACATTCTAGAAGGTTTTTATCATTCTTACTTCAATTAGGATTCTTTAGAGTTTTAATTAGATCAAATAGCATTTTCGACTGAAATTATATTATTTTATCTTCCAGTGCGGGAATTTTATCAGATTTTCGAAAACGTATTAAAAGCCGGTTTGGCGTCCAACCCTAGGCCTTGGCGCCTGGAACCAGGATTGGCGCCAGACGCCAGCCATTGGCGCCTGGCGCTAGCCACTGGTCCTGGCGCCAATGAGCCAGGGCTGGCGCCAAGTTGTTTTTGTGATCTTCAGACTCTGTTTTGATAAATTATCTTTTTTGGCTGATTTTCTCTATAAATATCGTATTAATAAACTCCGTTTTAGAGAACGGATTACCATCTATCATTCACCACTTCTTTTATTCTTAAGTTTTAAAATTTCGTTTTCCTTCATCATCTACAATCTTCAATCGTTAACAAATTAGTTTATGAATCATTAATCTTTCATTCCTTTAAAAACTTTATTGTTTAACACAAAATTCCGCATTCACAAGATCTTGATACACCTAGCCATATTCGAATTTGCCTTCGCCCTAGACGTGAAAGGTTTTAATTTTTGAGGGTTTGGTACCAAATCTCTATTTCAATTATTTAATTTAATTGTTTTGATTTATTATTTTCCTTGAAGTTACTAACGTGTGTATTTTGTAATTAGAAAGAGGTACGAGGAGTCCAAGTAAGTACTTTATATATTTTATTGATTTTATGATGTAGACATCATGTTTATATTGTTATTATGATATTCCTAGTATCATGTCTAGGGTGTTTCTAATATTAAGCGTGATTAAGAGTATGATGCTTCCTATGTTCTTTCTAATATTTATGATTATGATTGATAATGATTATTTATTATGTTGCTTGATATATATTTTATATATTGTTATTTCTTGATCACCTTTTATGCATGTTTAAAGGGAATTGGTATTTGCAATCACGCTTAATAAGATAATTAATAATCTTGTTAGGTTAATTGTGATTATAATTCAAGTGATCGCCAGTAATAGATTTATTTGTGCATTAAGTTCAACCAACATAGATTAAACAGGTTTAGGGTTAATCCTATTGATTGTATGTTAATTAGAAAGCGCACATGAATACGAGCAGAATAAAGTAGAGGCCTATTATTAGGGCAGGTTCAATCTCTTTTAGGTTGGATTTGTACCTTCATCCCCGAACCCTTATTTGGTTCATGACCTTATGGAGTGTACGATCTCTTGGATCGTTAAGGGGTTTAACCTTCACCTCGTGAACGGTTTACAAGTTCCTTAAAAACTTGTTGGTGACTCTTTTGCTCTATCTTCTTCCCTTTTGGACGCCACCGTACTTTAGTGTATGATCACAGTGGGGTTCAAGCTAGTGGGATTTTTATGGCTTGAAACTATTCCCTACAGCTGTCCTTCGAGTTTTATTTCGATTCGAATTTGGAATCTTTTTTTATTCTTCGACCCTCTTTTTTCTCTATAAATAGAGGTCATATCTCCCATTTTTCAATCATCAACTCTCATCAAGAATTTCTTAATTCTCTCTCTCTTTCTAGTCAACCCTTTTACAAACACAATTCCTCATACATTAGCACTAGACATACCTAGCATAATTCGAAGTTGTCTTCGCCCTAGACGTGAAAGGTTTGATTTTAGAGGGTTTGGTCCCAATTCTAGTCTAAATTTTCTTCAATTCCTTATTTAAATTATTTATTTTAATTGTTTAATTATTATTTTCCTTGAAGTTACTAACGCGTGTATTTTGTTATTAGAAAGAGATATGAGGCATCCAAGTAAGTGCTTTAATTGATTTATTGTGATTATGATATAGAAATCATGTCTAGATCGTTATTATTCCTAATGTCATGTTAGGGTGTTTTGTTCTTCCTAGTATCATGTTTAGGGTAACAACTATAATTTCTAATATCAAATATGCTTATTATGATTTCTGTGCTGCTTCCTACGTTCTTTCCTAATATTCATGTAAGTATCATGTTAGGGTTAAAGCTTTGATTTTAATGTTTAGGGACATGCTAGAGTTTGTAATTAATCTTGTTAGTATCATGCCTAGGATCTTGCTAGTATTATTATGCTTTAACATGACTATGTTAATTATGAGTAATTTTATTATTTTAATTATGATTATAATTGTTATAATTTATGATCATGATTATTTTAATTATTATTATTATGATTATAATTATTATTTTGATGATTATTATTATGTTCCTTGACATATATTATTGTTATTGCTTGATCACGCCTTTTTATGCCTGTTTAAAGGGAATTTGTACTTGTAATCATGCTTAATAAGATAATTAATAATCTTGTTTAGGGTTAATATGATTATAATTCAAGTTATAACCATTAATAGGTTTATTTGTGCATTAATATTCTACCAACATAGATTAAACATGTT